TTTCTTAGATCTGGGGTAGAGCCCAAAATTCTGCATTCCAGGTTCATGCAGGTACTTCTGATTCACAGATCACACTTTGAGTAGCAAAGGGGTCAGTGGTCCTCATTCTTAGCTGACGTATTAGAATTATCTGGGAGTGTTTTCCCAAAGCCCAGCCACAAAACCAGACCAATTAAGTCAATCCTTAGGGGTGGGATCAGGCATTGGCATTTTTAACTTTCCCTAGGCTATTCCAGTGTGCAGACAGGGTTGCAAATCCCAGGAAGAGGGAAGTGGAGAAAAATACAGCTTGATGATGAAGGCTGATTGATTGGTCCAGATGGGCTAGGCTGTGCTGTCAAGAGATTTATTGGAAGTAGAATCAGAAATCTAAAAGAAGTAGCTTATTTTGGAAAGCCTAGAGGCAAGATTCTTAAAAAAATAAAAAATTAGAGTGTAATAGTTTGTGTTGTTTGGCGTTTTAGCAGGGAATCAACAACATTCCCTGAACCTTTGCTGGATATGTAACCTTGGGGAGAAGAAGGGGCCGTGCTTTAGCAGTATGCATGGGAGAGAGCAGAGGCCCTCCAAACCAGCAAACTGCAAGTTTCACAGACCAAGGCATCTGCACTGGACGTCCCACTATTCAGCCTGTCTTGTGTTTCTTTACTTGGTGCTTCCTAACAGATGTTCCCCACATTTCTCATTCACATGAAGTTGCCGGCCTCATTCTCAGCAAATGACCTTGACTTCTACATCGCTGAGAAAATTGGGGTCAGCCATTCGCATTCCAACATCCCACCATCTTCCCCCTTCTGCTTGCCGTCACTGCCTCTTCACTTCTGTAAATGTCTTACCTAGACTGTCCCCTTCCCTATCAGAGAAAGAAGTACCCTCCCTCTTTCCCAAAGTGCTCTTTGTCCCAGCTAATTCCAGGATTTTCCATCTCCATGTGGACTTGGCTCCATCCATCACTACCCGCACTTGCACCCACACAGCTCACCATGGGACACCTTCGATCACTTCCTCTTTGCTGGCTCCCTCCCCTCTGCATGTATGCAAGTGTTTAACACCTCTCTCTCTTTCATCTCCTTATGCCCACTTCTATTTTCCAGTCTTGTTTCCACCTCCGCTACTGACTGAAATCGTTCCTTGAAAGGTCCCTGGTGCCCTCATTGTAAAAATAAGGGGCCTTTTAGAAGCCCTGTCCTCCTTGATTTCTCTGCACATGAAATATTCTCAATTTCCCATTCTTGCCAGTTTGAGTTCCTCTCATGGTTCTGCCTTTCATTATGTCTGTGTGTGGTGACCATGGGGAATGGCTGCTCCACTCCACCGTGCTTCTGGTGAAGTCTTAGCCAAACTTTTGGCCCTTCCCCATTTGTGGGTCATGAAATCAATTCTGTGATTGAGTTGCAACCAGCCTTCTCCTTCACCACCCATGCCCCCACCATGAAATTGAGTAGACTAGGATAGGAAAACTCAGAGTACATTACGTGGAACAAGAGCAAGTATTGTTACATGTATATGTATTTTTTGGTGGTGGATGAGTTAAAAAGTTGGGAAGTTCCTGTTCTAGTTTGTCTTTCTGTACTGCCAAACTGGGAAGTGAAAATGACACTTCCCATTCCTCTGTAACTAACACAATCCCAAAATCATAGTAAGACTTTCTTCTGAAAACTGAGCTCTCTCCCAAATTCTCCACATTGCCAATGGTTTCGCCAGGGTTCCCATCAGTCCTCCCTCCCCTGCTCCATCCTCTGTGGCCTCTTCCTCTGGCCCTATCCATACTGGATCAATCACTAGGTCCCACTCTGAGGTCTCCAGCATTCATTCTCTCTCGTGATTCTCCTGCAACAATTGCAGTTACAGATATTGCTATTGATATCCAGACAGTACTTCTAGCTACTCTTCTGACCTCTAGTTTCACAAAATGCTTCCAGCTTCAGTTACAATCCTGATCCATCATTGACCAGCTGCTATATGACCTCAGGAACATTGTTGGACATTTTTGAGACTCAATAGCCCCACATGTAATGTTTTTCTCACAGGGCTTTTCTCGGAATTAGAAGAATATGGAGATATATATATATATATATATATATATATATATATATATATATATATATATAAAGCTGGATAAAGGATACATAAAGGGGCCAGCACAAGTTAGGAGCTCAGATATTAGCTTCCAGCCTCACAATGTGTCCGATGCTGTTATAGACTAAATGTTTGTGCCCCGCCCCCATCACTCAGATCATATGCTGAAATCCTAACCTCTGATGTGGTGTATTAGGAGAGGTGGGGCCTTTAGGAGGTAATTGAGTTTAGATGAGGTCATGAGGATAAATTCTCCATGATGGGATTAGTGTCCATATGAGAAGAGGAAGAGACTAAAGCTCTCTCAGCCATGTAAGAATACAGCAAGAGGGGAGCTGTCTGCAAGCTGGAAAGAGAGGTCTCACCAGAAGCCAATCGTGCTGGCACTCTGATTTGGCTTTCCCAGCCTCCAGAACTGGGAGAAATAAATGTCTGTTATTTAAGCCGCTCAGTCGACGATATTTTCTTACAGCAGCCTAAACTAAGACAGATACCCCACTAGCAAAGCTTCCATGACTCACTGAATGAAATGCCTGCTGAATGAAATATCTCAACTCTGGTCCTTGTCCCTCAAGAATCCCTCAACTTAGTCACAGCCTGCCATTTCAGTCTTCACTTTCCACTAGTCCCTGTCCTTTGGGACCGAGGGACAAGTCACCATTCCTTCTACAGGCATGCATGATTCTGTCCCCATGCTTTTTCCCCAGGCAGTCCTGTCTGCCTGCCCTACCCTTCCTGCAGCCCCACCTCACTCCCATGCTGGTCACTACAGTGTGGTCCTGCTGAAGGTGATCACAAGAGCCTACCTACCAGCTGGTGGCTCCACTCGGGACCTGGGAAGGAACTGGACTGGAACCCAGGAGCAGCAGGCATCTTGGAAGGGAGGGTGTACTGTGCAACCACACTTAGCAGTCAGTTCCCTGGGCCAGTGCAGAAAGGCAGCATGTGGGTCATTCTGCAGGAGTGTGGAAAACAAACCTCAGCCCACCCTAGGGGGTCTCTGAGTCCTCTCACTAAGACACAAGTCCGCTCGTTCCTCCCGCAAGAATGACTCCAGAATCTCTCTAACACATCTACCCCATTCCCACTTCTACATGCAGATTCATACCCCTTCCCACCATTCCTGCAGGCATCCTGGGCCCATGGCAGCCACCCCCAGCAACCTTGCCAGCCCTCTGCAGACTTGTCCTCAGCCCCAGCCCAACCATCAGCAGGACACGTGCTGACTGGAGCACAGAAACATGTTTGCACCCGAGAGGGTCCTTTCTCCTCCTTGAAGACAGGCAAATTTGGGTTCAACCAGCTGCCTTCTCTTGTTCCAGACGAGTTCCCCTGTGGGCTCCCATCAACCCATAGAAAATTGATTTTCAGAATTCTCCTCTTTCAAGTGGAGGGAGTAACATGAACCTCGCGGACGGTTGTGAGGAATTAGCGGCAGTTAAAGTTCAGCACAGCTCCTGGTGTCCTAAGGCCAGAGGGCTCAAACCGGGGGCTCTTAGGGGCCTATGGGCAAAGATACATTTTCTTTGGCCTAGTCTGGGCATGTAAACAAATGTTTTAAAATCAAAAGTTCTACACACACGTACACACTCCAGATCGGACTCCTTTTGAAAAAATGGAAAGATCCGGAATCAATGGGCCGCTTCCTCCCATGAGGGAATTATGGGTCACTGCTGAAGAGTGGTTGCCCCTAATGATGAGTTTGCCACAGTCATCCCCAACCTTCTTATCTGACCCTCTGGGTATATGGCTGATATTTAATGCTGCTGTAATATCGCAATCCTTTGCTGGTTGGTGAGCAGCTGCTGCCTTGGACTCCAACATCCTGGCTGCCCCAGCCCCTCCCTGGGACCCCCTCTCCCTCCCCACTTCATTAGGATTCAGCACCTAAAGGGTTAATGCCTAGCCCAGTCGGGGAGACCCTGGGACCTGGCTACTAGGTGGCTGATGGGTTGATGTCTGTGCAAGTCCGGTGGTTAAAGATTTAGAATAACATTCCCATGGGAGGCACCGAAGCTGCTGTCCTCCATTCACTGCTTCGGTCCTCAGCTTTGAGAACAGGGTCCCATGCACAGTAGGTAATAGGCCTACTCAGACTTTAACTTTGCGGGCTGAGTTTTGCCATATGCCCTTGAAACATTAGTTTCCTCTCCTTGGCCTTACCCTCCCCTTCCTTTGAGGCTAACTGAAGACGGCCCTCCAGATTCTAGCCTTTCCCCAGCTCTTCCTCTCTCCAGGCTCAGTCCGCATTAGCAGTGGGTGTGGGTGGGGTGGGGTCTGCGCTGCTCCCTGGGCCCAGGCTCAAGCCCCTGTGGAATAGGCAAGCAGGCCTCTTCCCGGAGCCGTGGCTGAGGGATACAGCTGATGCCTTTTGCCTCTCGGGTAGCCAGAGTACAGTCATTCACGAGAGACCGTGGGTGTCATCAAAACCATTTTATTTCTCAAACAGTGGAAACAAACAGAACAGCCATCTCAGTCAGGACGTGGAAGGACCGGCAGGGAGCAGGCAGATTGGAGGAGCTGCAAAATGGTGTAAATTAATGGAAATGATTCTGCTGGCACTGCTCACTGCCTCCTCCGAATAATTCCAGCAACCACTTTCCCGGGCCCGGCCACTCAGGGAGGGCAAACAAAAACGCTGGAGGACCAGAGGAGAGTGACGGGAGGAGGAGGAAGAGGAACTGACTGACAACTGGGAGTAGTTCACAACCTGGACATTTAATTTTCCAAGCCAGGGGGCTTCAGTGTGACTCTTATGTCCACCCCTGACCAGCTGTGCGACCTTGGGCAAGGCGCCTCACTTCTCTGGGCCTCAGTTTTCATATCACTGAGTAGAGTGGGCTAGTGCAGCATCCGAGGCTCTGCCAGCCCCTATTCTGTGACCCCCACACGCTGTTTTATCTACTATATTTCCTTTGTCCCTACCCCAGCACTCTCTTTTCTCTGTTGAAATATTTGGCCCATCCAGCGCTGTCTCCTACAGCCAGGAGCTCTTCCTCCAGGGCAGGGACCACTTCCTTTTCTTGTTTGTCCATGAGGTCCTAGGGGCATGGGAGATGCTCAGCCAGCCCTGGAAGGCCGGACAGAGGGCAGGCTAAGACTGTTGCAGGCAGCAGCCTGGGGAGGGAGTTGGGGCCTACTTACAAAGGCCAAATGAAGGTGTTTGTGGAATTAGTCAAAATTGCTGGCTTGACTGGATTTGGATGGGGTTCCTTGACTCAAGCCTGGAAGCCCCCAGGCCTCTTCCTTTCCCTTCTCTAAAGATAGCCTCAGATGGCTGTGGGGTGAGAGCCGGGGAGGCCTGCGTGAGTTCCTGGATGAAACTGAACTGCCAGCCTTTCAAAATCATTATGAGGTTTATATTCCTGTGTCACCCTAAATTAAATAACAAACAACACTCAGATGGGGAATTCCACCTCCCGCCTCCACCTCCCAGCCCTCTCCAAGGTCCCTCATTCTGGCCAGGAGAGCTAAGCGTGGTTCCAAGCGCCCAGGCTGTCAAAGGAATCTGGCAGCAGGTTTTGTGGAGAAGCTCCAGGGATTGGATGGGCCTGAACAGCAGCCCCATCCTCTCAACTTCCTGTTTCTTTTGTCTGGGGCAAGGGCTTGGGAAGAAAGGCTGCAGGGGAGGTTTGGGAAAGACAGAGGTGAATAACGGCTGGAAATTTAGCTTCTCCAACTCAGCGGACTCGAGGGAAAGCCAGTGGGTGCTGGGGAGGAGAGCCCAGCAGGGAGGGAGCCAGCTGTTACTTGATTTAAGGAGTTGTTTTCCAGTCACCCCAGCAGGAGGCCCAGAGAGATGGTGGAAATTAAGTGCACAAGTCCCCTGAGGCTCCATGGTACCTTATTGCCCTGGCTGAGTCCTGGGTGATAATGGGATCTCCTGGAGGGTCTCTATGGGATCCTTGCTGATGCCAGCCTTATACTTGAGAGGCCCTAATAAAACCCAAAGCCCTAAGTCAGTGCCTGCCCCATAGCAGGCACATGAATGAACGAATGAACAGATGGATGAATGACCAGGAGGGCAAATGAGGATTTGAAAAGGATTGTAAAACTGCCAGACTCCCTGTGTTAATGCCACTTTCACTCTTGCTGAAGAAAAATACTTCTCCACTGAGCAGCAAAGAGACAAATGCATGTTTTACAAGGGGAGGGGAAGGGTGGGGGAGAGGAAAGAATGAATGGATTTTGTGTTTTGACATATTTACTAAGAAATGTGGAAACTGCTTAGCACCTGCTAATTAGAGTCAGAGCAACCTGCACTCCCTGTGATGTGCAAATGCCATGGGAGCCTGAAGGATGGGTGGATTTCCCCAGGGGATTATGGGCTTTTCCCAATGGAGAAGAGAGGACCATGGGAAGTGGGAGGGTGGAGATGAGGAGCAGAGGGAGATACAGAGAAGGGCAGGGCCATTGAACACTGCTCCTTGGATTTCTTGGCATATTTTCTTTACTCTCTTCTTCCACAGATGCCCAGAATGACAAGACTGCTGTTGGGCACCAGGAAAGAGGGGATTGGTGACTAGGTCTACCCTGTCAAACTACAGCTCAGGAACTGCAATGCTGAGGTCAAAGACTGGTCCAAGGGTCCCCGTGTCTTCTTTCTAATTCTCGCCTCTCTTAGGAATCTCTCCCATCTCCCAGCTCCTTCCTGTCCAACCTGGGGACAGCTGAGAGGCTAGGAACACAAGTCCTGGATTCCAGCTGCCTGGGTCTCACTCTTCCTTCCCCAACTTGCTTGCTGTGCCTGTTGGGAAAGTTTCCTGGCCTCAACTTTGTCTCTTATAAATGGGAGATAATAAGAGCATTCACTTGGTAGGGTGGTAGTGAGGATTAAAGAGATGATCCATTTGAAGACCTTGACACTTAGTAAGTATTCAATGAATACGGGCTATCATCTTTGAAGACTTTGGAGCCCAAGAGCCATGAGTGTGCTAGTTCAGCCAGTGAATAGCTGTGTGACTCTGTGGTCAGGATCTGCTCAGGAATGCAGGCCATGCTGGATGGTTCACCTGGGGATTTTCACATCAGGAACTAGTTATAGAGGTGGCAGTGTAGCTGTAGGTCCACGCAGGAGAGACTGAGGCGGAGCAGAGATGGAATGTAGGAAGGCAGTGCCTACGCTGGAGGAATAAAAGGAGGTGGTAGGTTACTAGAACCTGGGAATCCAGGGTTGGTGGGAACTGAGACCACTGAGGAAGGGGTATCAAAGATTATGGGAGCTGAAACCTAGGAGGCAAATGGTCACTGCTGAAGCTGCTACCTGCAGTTGCTACCTGGAGCTGTGAGGAAGCCAGCAGAAACTTCATGGTTTCTTCCTAACTCCCATCTTCTTACCTCCCACCTGGCTGAACCAATTGGCAATGGTGTCTAGGAAGTGTAGTTTGCGGGGGTCAGTGCTCTGGGAGAGAGAGCAGAAGAGGGCAAGGCAAGGAGCGATCGCATAGCACCTGGGCAAGTTACTTACCCTCCTGCACTTCAGTGATCTAAACTGCTTAAGAAAAAGTTGGGAAGGGAAGAGGATGCTTGGTATGATTGCGCGGAGGATTACATGACATAAGGCATGAAAAGTCTATGCCACAGGACCTGGCCAAAGCCAAGAACTGCAGGCTCATCCTGTTCCCTCCTCCAGGATCCAACTCCAGCCCTACCTCTTCAAGAAGTCACTGCTGACCTCTGTGATCTTAGATCACTTCGCTCGTACTTTTATGAGTGTGTTTTTCCACATTGTGGTACCATTTCTGATCAAATATCTGTCTCTTCCACTAGAGTATGAACTTCTGAGAGTGTCCTTTTCTTCTTGAGTGCCTGCCACTCGACAGTTAGAGGATGCAAACCCTGTATGTTGGCATACAACATGTAACTGTTCAAAACAGTCTCTAGGCAATGCTAGAGTTCGTGGGATATGAATTTCTAGAAGTAGTGAGTCACTAACCAAATTTTAAAGAAGGGAAGGAAAAGACCAGGAAAGAGATGTGAAATTCAAAGAAAATGAGAAATATGAAGGCTGGGAGAGAGGCACAGTGGCTTATTCAAGGTCATATACATTGGAAGGGTCTCTTGGCTTCTAAGCTAATGAATAATTAAACATTCTTTTTTCTTTTTTTTTGAGACGGAGTTTTGCTCTTGTAACCCAGGCTGGAGCGCAATGGCACGGTCTCTGCTCACCACAACCTCCGCCTCCTGGGTTCAGGCAATTCTCCTGCCTCAACCTCCTGAGTAGCTGGGATTACAGGCACGCGCCACCACGCCCAGCTAATTTTTGTATTTTTAGTAGAGACAGGGTTTCACCATGTTGACCAGGATGGTCTCGATCTCTTGACCTTGTGATCCACCCGCCTCGGCCTCCCAAAGTGCTGGGATTACAGGCTTGAGCCACCGCGCCCGGCCTTCCTTTTTCTTTTTATAAAGAATAACACATGTTCATTGTAGAAATTTTAGAAAATTCAGGTAAACACAAAGAAGAAAAAAAATTATCCGTAATGCCAACTCCAAAATAACTAAATATTTTGGGGTTTATCCACTCAGTCACATGCATATGGCATTTTTTTTTTGGTTTTGTTTTTACTAAAGTAGTATAGTCTGTTTCACAGCTTTTTAAAAACTTAACAATAATGCTTGAACAACTTTTCAAGATATCAAATATGCTTTCACAGCACAAATTTTAAAGCTTCGTAACAGTCCACTGATCCATTTATCCAATGCCTGTTATTGAAATTTAACTTGTCTTTAACATTTCGCTGTATTTGATAATCCTATCATAAAATCGATGTAACCTGATCTTTTTTCACACTGTCATTCCTTTTTAACCTTTCTTTTTCTTTTTCTTTTTGAGATGGAGTCTTGCTCTGTCACCTAAGCTAGAGCGTAGTGGCGCAGCCTTGCTCGGTTCATTGCAACCTCGTCCTCCTGGGTTCCAGGGATTCTCCTGCCTCAGCCTCCTGAGTACCTGGGACTACAGGCGTACGCCACTATGTCCAGCTAATTTTTGTATTTTTAGTAGAGACGGGGTTTCACCACATTGGCTAGGCTGGTTTCGAACTCCTGACCTCGGATGATCTGCCCACCTCGGCCTCCCAAAGTGCTGGGATTACGGATGTGAGCCGCTGTTTTAATAATTTCCTTGAAGTGGAATCGTTGGTCAATGAATATGCACATTTTTACAGTTTCTGACAATGGTCGCCAAATTGCTTTCCAGAAAGCTTTTTAATTTTTTTGAATCTATTTGCCTTTCCCATTTGCCATGGAGGAAGTGGTTTTGGGTGAATTTACCAACATTGAATCGATCTAAAGCCATTTTGCCAAAACTCAATTCATCAAATAACCAATTCGCAAAATAGTCAGTTAGGAAGATGGAGTGACACACAGACAGAACAAGCCAAAGCCAATTCTTCAAACTACCAATTAGCAGAATAAAGAATTTAACAAATGTACTGATTAACATAGCTGTGAAGCAATTTCTACTGCATAGGAATGTTTTCACGTGGTTTTTGGAGATCACCATCAAGTTTGAGTGGACAGGTTTTCATTTTGTCTTTACAGCAGGCATTACAATTACTCAGTTTGTAGAAATGATGGGGTCTTGTGTGTGGGTATCTTTAATATTCAAAAAGTGTATTTCCTTATTAGACACCAGAATGTTGTCATTCTAAATGGGAATCTTTCAGTTTTTACTGATTTGTTTTGAATTCTTTTTTAATGCCATTTTCTGTTGCCATGCTTAAAATATTTATGAGTATTCAGCTAATTTCTCCATAGTTTCTCAGTTTATTTCTAGCAATTAGTGAACAAAATTTAATACATGATATGGGTGCTACTGCCACTTCTTAGCTCCCTGCTTATCTTAGCAATTGTCTATCATTTTTTGGATTAGTAACCAGTTGACTTGTTACCTTTCCTTAATTTTTTTTTTATTTTATTTTGAGACAGAGTCTCATTCTGTCACCCAGGTTGGAGTGCAGTGGAGCAATCTCAGCTCACTACAACCTCTGCCTCACCGGTTCAAGCAGTTCTTCTGCCTCGGTCTCCCAAGTAGCTGGAA